GAAGTCTGATGCCAGTATGGTCTAATTTTTTGTATTATTATTATGATTTTTATCTTAAAATTTATAATTTTCTCAATCTTGGTATTTTTAAACTTTATGGTAATGCATCTAAAGTAGTACAGTATTTTATTATAGGCACTCAGGGAATCCCTATCAATTTGGCCTTTGGTTCTACAGAATTTTTCTTTTTATGAATTTTACCTTCATTTTCTCTATTCTAGTCTTGAAAACTTTAAATTACAGACATTTTGGATAAATGTCCAATGTTCCATACTTTTTGCTTATATTTCCTAAGTCCTTGGGTTGGTTTGTTATTGTGTTTTTGGTTCACATTCAGTCAAGTTCCTTAACTTTATTAAATTTTTCTTTTGTTAGGCAATCATGATATTTTATTTCTGAATGAGATGCGATCTCAAGGGTGTCTGTTTCTGGTTACTTCTGCAGTCATACTTCTTTTTCTTAGCCCCAGTTGCATAAATCTCAGTACACTAATTAATTTGCCTCGATTTCATTTGGTTCATGTCAGGGGCCATTTATTCTGATGGCTCAGCTTGGTTAGCTTCTTTTGTGCTACTGATTTGCCTCATTTGTTCCTGTTCATTTTTACTATTCATTCATGTGTTCTTCCTGGGGCCCTTATGGTTTAGGAGGGCAACTACTGTTCTTCAGTCCTTATGCAGGGTAAGAGTGTTCACATGTTTCATTCATTGGCCAGTAATACTGATAGTTGCTTTCCAAGACAGGAATCTTTTAACTTTACAAGTCCAACTGGGATGTTGTTGAGTCCAGAAGTGTCACAGCGTGTCGAGTGTGGTGTACAGGGACATTGCTGTGGTACATTGTGTGCTATGGCTAGGGTTTAATTGTGGGGCATTCACTTCATGTTTCCTCTCCTGAAAAAGGTACACTCTGCATAGCTTTTGCTGTGGTTTCCTGTTCGGTATTCTCAACCCCCAAATCAATGGCACGTCCAGTGTGCTGTTTAACTGCTTTAGTTCTTGAATAACCATCTTATTATTCCTTTGACCCTAAGACAAGCGGACCAGTTATGCTGGTCCTAGTCTTTAAAAAAAATTCTCATTATTTATTGTTACTATTGTTTACAATTTGTCTATGTAATGTAGCATGAATGTCAGAGTAGATACAATGAACTCATATCCTTTAAAGATGAATAATGAAACAACCACATATCTACTATCACATTTAATAATTTCTCTCTTTGTACATAAAACTAGTCTGTAATTCTGAGGTGGTGTTCCATCTCCCTTTGCTGAGTTCAGAGGTCTAAAGTGGGGAGAATGGGCTTAGTGACCCTAACTTCTTTCTGACGAAAGAGAAAAGAAGTACAAATAGAGTATGTAGAAGGCACAGAGTTATTTGTGGCACAAATTCAGATTATTACACTTAGTGGCTGGTGTGGCAGTGTAAGCTACCGATGACTTTTCCTGACCAGCAAAGCATTCCTTGGCACGCTGGTAATTCACATGGCATCTTTGTGTGAATATGAAAAAATATACTCTCTTTGTCAGAAAGTTCTTGCAATAGCTACATGCACAAAAACCTGTAAGACTTTGGTTCTACCAGTGCCCCTAGAGTTTATAGGCCACAACCTACACATTCACAATTCATGGTTGACAAAGCAGGAGGCTGTAGAACTCTTCTAGCGAGTGTCACCATTTCCTGAATGCTTTCTGTGTAGTAAAAACTGCTTGAGGTCCTTGGCATTTCCTATTGAAATGGAGACACTCTCTGCTGTCAAGGTTCATCATGACTGGATTTATGAGCACACTGCTTTTTGACTGTACATGCCAGAAATGAGGCAACAAGCTACTAAGAATTTTTCTTGAGCTGGATCAGGGGCCCTGTTGTACAGCTAAAGGTTGACCAGTACATTAAACTATTTGGCATGTTGTCCCTGCCAAACTTAAGCCTGTCATGCTGTATAAAGTTGATGAGTTCAGAGTTCATGTGGGATTCTTAAGTCCAAGGTGACCATATGTCCTAGTTTCAGGGGTTAAGTAAGTCAGTCGCATTTACAGTAGTTACTAATATAAATTCTTTTCTGTCTTAAAATGTTCCATCTTTATACAGTAAATTACATGGTCATGCATCTTAGTCAATTTTTTTTTTTTTGCCACGGTAGCAAATCCCTTCAAAATCTTACTGACTTCAAATACCAAATATTTAGGTTTTGCTCAGGTATCTGTGGTTTACTTGCATCTCTTCACCAGGGCCTGAGTCAGATTTATTCCTCATTCTGACTTTGGGCATGTGCAAAGTCTTCGTATGGGAATCAGCCTGGGAGATCATCTGTAATGTGAGAATTCTCTACAAGATGAGAGCTCTTGTGTCCTCTTCCATTGGCTAAAGCAAGTCATATGTTTAAGACCAATATCAGAAGGTTGGGATTTATGCTAACCCCTTAGAGTTGAGCACTGCAGTAGGGGAAAGTGACCAGTGAAAAATAATACAGTTATCACCTCACATTCCTAAACCCCACTGCCACCCAGAATGCCCCCTTCTAGCTTTGCTGGTGTTTTCCTAGCAGTCTTTGTGTAAGAACAAAACTGAAGTAATTAACAGTTCTTAGGGAGGGAGTTTTACCTTCATTATGAAATATATTAAGGGATTTCACTACTCCCTTTGGATATTTGTTTGTTTGTTTTTGAGACACATGTAGTCAAGGCGAACCTTGACCTCACTGTGTTGCCTAGGTTAGCTGTGAACTTATAGCATCCTACTACCTCAGCCTCCTGAGTGCTGGGATTGTAGATGTGCATCACTATACCTGACTAGGGGTTAGAGGTTGATATTATCTATGACAGCTTGGTTAACTGGAAAGGGTCTCTCCCTTCCTTATGACCCCATTTTTATCACCTTTCATAGAAATCTGCACCAATAAATTTTCCACTCCACCATATGAGCTATTAGAGCCAAATGAGCCCCACCTTATGTTGGAGCTTTGTAAGATATGGGTTTTAGTGCTCCTTACTTTGCCCCCAACAACTGTTCTCCTTATCTCCCATCCCTGTACTTAGGATTTTTTTTTTTTTTAAATCTCAGTGCTTCTTCATTTGCTTTTGCCAAGTGTTCAGAGCTGATTGGTTTTTCCAAAAACAGTTCCAGAAATTCCTTTCAGTTACTGGTTCAGAAATGGATCAGAGTTAAACCGGGTTACCCTTCATTGTTTTCCATTGCTTGTTCCATTTCAGCAATTTGAGAAAACAAAAGGGACAAAAATTTGAGTACATTCTCCCAGGTTGAAACTACAGTCCTAGTGTTTTCAGAAATGCAACATCATTTTATGGCAAGGGCAGATGTGATTGGAAAGCTGAGGGGAGATATGTTAGTCCTATCACTAGCTGGCAGTGATGGACCTTCAGAAGCAAATGCTTTTTTGAAGAAACAATGTATCATTTCCTCATAATGGTCAGGTGTCTTCAGAGTCAGGTTGAAAAGCAGGCAGGTGGTAGTTGATCAGCTTGATTCCATAGCTAAATGGCTTGCCATAAGGTTCATGCATGCCTCAGAAAGAGTACAACTTGTTACAGTTCACAGAATGTTGGTATGGCTAGTTGATATTGTAAGGATCTAACTAATTTCTGATTTTCTCCTTTACTAGAGCATCAATTATGAAGATATGAAGTGTCATGCTCCCCATTGTATTTCCCAAGCTAGAATAGTATCTGGCCCAAAATGAAACTTCAGAAAAATTTGGGAGAAGCACTACAGATATTAATGATAGACCATAGAGGCAAAACTTCTGAGCTCCTAAATGTAGTATAGCACCTTAAGGATAGGTAGGATTGTTCTTTAAGATTATAGTGCCAGGAATGAGTTCAGATTGATGCTTTAGCTTCCCTGACCCTATAGTAGGGTGGCTGGGACCCTGAATGGGGCTAGACTTTGAGCTGAAAACTAGAAGAATAGACATTGGATATTGTATGGCCATGGAGCTGTGGTCCATGAAGAGATGCTCTCATTACTTGCCATTTGCTATGCCGTCACCACTACAGTATGTGCCTGTTGATCTCAGTATGACCCCTGCACTGATTTAAGTGAGGAATTTTTCCAACCACCACAGCTCATTTTGATTATCTGTGCAACAGGTTGACACACAGGGTATTTAATATGCTTTGAGAGAAGTCCTGAAATCAGTGACTGAAAGGAATTAGTAGATAAATAGCCAAGGTCCCTCCCCCTCTTGGTGGGGTAACTGAGGCATGTGGACCCTCCTTGGTAGCCTTAACCTCTGGGCCCTGTTTCAAGTAACCAACTTGATACTGCACCATTTACTGGCTGTCTTCTCTGTACTACTTCCCCCTCTTTTCCTGTTTGTGTTTTTTTCACCTAAATCAACCTTTCACTCTTGCAAACGTATCTCAGGGTCTACTACTGGGAAATCTCAAACCATGACAGTCTGTGCTGAGTCCTGAAGACATGACCACTTAGTGGTGGGTATCCTTGTGGCTGCAAAACCCACAAAAGATTTGGGCTTTATTTTGCCTAGATCCTTAAAAGTTAGTGGCAAAAACAGAAAAGTACTTTCAATTTTTCTTGTTTTAAAAAGTCATGAGTTAATTCTGTGATTGTATTACACAGCTATCTGTAATGACAGAGGGATTTTTATGGATAGTTGAAAGTGCCCTGTTCAGAGAACATGTGTGATTTGTGCTGTCTACAGAATGGGGTCTCAGTGGATTTCCAGGGATTCCTAGTCCCTCTGGGAATGTCTTGTTTCTTGCTGCCTTAGGCTGCTTACTGCTTCTAAACATGGCCTACATGTTATATCCCCCGTGATTTGCTCACTAGTCTCTGGTTATATCTCAGTTTTCACTGTTGCTGGCCCAGAATCAGGGGACCCAGGAATATCACCAAGCCTGGCCTCCTGCAGACAGCTCCTTAGGAATGAATGGGTGAGAGTCATTCTGCCTGCGCCATGCAAAGGGTAGATGTGGGAGGCACAGTCAAACTGACCTTGGATCTTTGTTTCTTTGCAGATATCTCTGTGAGCCTGCTGACCCTCATGGTCACTGCCTGTGGTCTTGCCCTCTTTGGCGTATCTCTCTTCGTATCTTGGAAACTCTGCTGGGTTCCTTGGCGAGAACGAGGCCTGTTCTCTGGTAGCAAAGACAACAACCAGGAGCCTCTTAACTACACAGACACCGAGACCAATGAGCAAGAGAACAGTGAGGACTTCATAGACCCACCCACGCCCTGCCCTGACTCCTCCATGAAGATCAGCCACACCTCCCCGGACATTCCCCTCTCTACCCAGCCGGGGGTCCAGGAGAACTGTGCCCATGGGGTTCGGATGCAACGCCAAGTCACAGAGCCAACCTCGTCGACTCGGTCAGTAATGTTCCGTTCCTTTCTGAATGCAAGCCTAGGGCCACCCTATTCCTCTTTTTTGCATCATTGGTTAGCCAAGGAGCCTTTGACCTTTTAGATATCTGTTCAGTATTAGACACTTGGATATGACAGGAAAACTGTGCTTCCAATGCAGAATTAAGGTTCCTGAGCTTTTAGTCTCTTATGAATCCATAAAAATATTATCTAACATTGTTATGATTTACAGTGTACAAGTGTGATATATAAACTTTACATGCATTATTTTATTATAGCTTACAAATTTGTGTGAAATGGATGCTATAATCATTTTCCTTTTTCAGCAAAAGAAACCTAAGTCAAGGAAATTAAGTTCCAAAGGCACTGAGCACCTGAATGGAGGTTTGAACTCTCTTACCTCAACATCAGAACTTGAGCTTTTAGCATTGTTTCTTTTATAGAATACTTGTAGTGTGATAGAATTTATTCACTGTGACTCTGGCCTAGTCTAGCAATCTTCAGATTCCACAATGTGGCCAAGGTCTTTTTCCATCTTTAGTCTTTATAAGGCCTACGGAGTGCCCACGCCTATGGTCATTCTCTTCCCATTGTCTCAAAGTGATGCACTCGTCAGCAGTAGAGAAATAGCAAAGTGCACTAATTGAGACTGTGTGTGGGCTCTGGGGTCTAATGAACTGGCTTTACTTACATATGTAACACTGAATAAATTACCTTTGTATGTGTCCATCCTCTTCAGTAAAAGAGGAGCAGAAATAGTAATAAACTTCAGGCGTTTCTGAGAAAGAAATGATAACATATGCTTACCTAGGCCTGCACCTACTAAGTACTGCTGTTTAACTTTTCATATTACTGTTATCATCACCACTGCCCTTGAAATGGGCTCCTCCTAAGACTCAGATTTTACAAAGGTGACTTTGAGGCTAAGCAGTGAGTTCTAAATTACTAAATATAAAAAGCAGTTTTTAATAAGAGACCTTAGCAAAAGAGATACCGGAAGCAATTTTCTTTAAAGTGAAAATATTTGCTTGAGTGATAGCCAGAGGAGTCGTATGTGCTATTATTTGAAACATATGAACACAGTTTGGGAATTTTTTTAAAAAACCTTTTATTCTCTAGAAGCATAAATACAATTTCACCCTTTTTTATGTTAATCAAGTTTATCCTAGAGGCTCTGCTCATTCATGTTAAGTGGGATGGAATATGACAGTTTATAGTTTAATTTTTTCAGAAACCTATTTTAGCATCATCTCCAATTCTGAATCAAAGAGCTAAACTTAAAATATTCCACTGTAAGGAAGTGGGTAGTTGTTTGCCATTTGATTTAGAAGAAATCTTCAGATCTTATCACTAGGATTTCTCTTCTGATTTAAAACTTAAATATAACTAGAGCTCTGTTTTATGCTGTCACAGAGTTCATGTGGTAGTGCAGACTTACAATAAAATTCTTTTAGTACTTCAAGACCTGGCGCTTTTCAGATAATGTCTCCATTGAAATTGTCGCCTGTTCACTTTTACTTTGCATGTAATTTATCTTGTCTGAATTCCTCTAACACTAGGTGATAAAACTGTGTTTTTATTAGGTTGGGTCTGAGCATTCTACCATATAATTCCAATGAACTAGTATCAATAATATCACTAATTATTACAATGTTTGTTCTCTAAAAATATAAAAATACTTCATATGTCAAGAAATACAAATTTGTTCGACAAGAAATTATCTTCAGATTTGCATAAATTGGGTTGAAGGGGGAAAGAGAAGAGCAAAGATATTATCTCTGTAAAATACATTTTACATTTAGATTTGTATTAGTTTTGGAGACATGAAATTAAATTATCTTTTATGATGGGCCAAATTAGGTTTAGTAATAACTGAACTGCCATTAAAAAACTAAACTCATTCTGGCTGCATTTGACCCAGTATTAACAATTTGCATCATTATGCATTTAAACCACTCATATCTAAAATTACAATTGACCTAGTTTTATGGGTTGTGCATGGAAGTATGTATCTTTGTTTAGTGATGTAGGGCTCTCTAATTCTTTAGCGATTGTGTAACATTATGAAGAAGCAAATGTTTTTACTGACAAAATGGAAAACTAAATGAACTATTTTTCATGTTCTAAAACATTTTTAACATTTTTTAAGTAAAAATATTTGGGAAGAGGAAAAGAACTTTTTACTAAGATGGCTTTAAGATGTTCCCTTATGTCTATTATTTCTTCTGCCCTGTTTCTCATTATGTCTTTGACTTTTTCACTGCTGTCATTTCTTTCTTCTATTCTTCAGCTGTTAAAGCTTTCCCCAGGGTCTGGGCACCTCAGCCCAGAGCACAGACTTATACTCCCATTTAAGAGCATCTTCCCTATCACCACAATGGGCATAGCTTTGTCACAGCACTGACAATGAAAATCTCAACCTCACCTGTCCTCTTCAGACTGAATATATTTGACTCACAGTGGTGCAGACTGGACAAGACCAAAGATGATCTTTGTTATATCTAAGAATGTTTCTGGTCAGGATAAGTTTCCATTGTTTTTCTAAGACCAAATCTAGTTAATTACCATTAAGACCATCTAAAATTCTGTTAATTCTTCTCAGTTTGGATGAAATTTCTCATTTTAGGAATATGGACATCTTAATTTTTGCAACACTTTTCAATGCCAGAACTTTCTAATAAAGGTCTGTACTTTAAATGTATGAAAATACCTGTATCTTCAAAATAGAGGGACCTGGAAAGGTCATCTATTCCATTTCCTGATTCTTGTCCCAAGATGAAACTCCATCCCATTTTTATTTTTTAAGACTTCTCAAATTTCCTCTTTAACAGTTCATGTTTTATGAAACCAGAACTACCCATACCAGAAACTCCTTATTGGGACTATTAAGACACTGCTCACATGAACTCGGTAGCCGGCTTTGCCTGAAAAAAGCTGATAATATTCCAGCTATGCTAGTATTTCTCCTGGTTAAGTGTCTTGAGCCTAGATAACTTAATACGTGCTGTTCCTTCTTCCAGGAATGCATTTCCTTTATTTTTGGCCTTCCTGGATCTTTTGAAGCTTTAACATTCTTAAATTCCACCTGAAGAATGGAATGTTTTCTATATCTTCCCAGTCTGAGTTCTCACACTGCCTTATTTCCATGCCTGCACAGCATTGAGCACTATTTCCAAGTGATTATTTATTACCGATACTCCCCTTTCTATGAGTTCTGTGAGCTCAGAGATCACAACTGATTTGTCTCTTCCTCTGTTTCGGCCCCTACTGCAATGACTGGCACATAACAGATTGCCATGATTGGCTGAGAAAATAATTGCTCAGTACTTTTCTGTTGTTCTGCTGACAAGAATGGCAAAGACCCAGAAGTATAAAATGAGTGAAATCTGTAGTAGTGTGAGACTGGTGGAAGACTTTGCTTTCATGAAGAATATCTCAGTTAAACAGTTTTAAACTTTTTCCCTCAATTAAGCGATCAAGGCAGTTAAAAATACACTAACGGGATTTGAAAAAAAAATCACACTGCAGTTTGGATCCCTTCCTTTCTGGCCACAACTCCAGTAAGTAGTACACAAAGACTAAATGTTGTAATTACTGAATGAGTAATACGTTTCAACTAAGCTATATATTTTGTAGAGAGAAAAATGTAAAACAGTTATTCCTTCAAATTTTAATAAACTGACAATTTTTAAAATGAAAATTGTCAAGACCTATCTCAACTCCATGAAATCCAACAACTAGATGCAAAGAAGAGCATCAGTTAAAAACTTTGAAGTGCTCAAATTGTTCCTGGAGATGATTAATCTGGAAAGAATATATATGATTATGAAATGGAGTGAAGACTAGATACAGTGTATCTTAGTTACTTTTCTCTCATGGCTGAGAAACTTGCCACCCAAAGATGATAGGTGAAACATTTTCTTTAGTTCACAGTTTATAGATATTTCAGTCCATAATTGGCTGAATCCAAGGCAGAGTGACATGCGGCAGAGGGGCAACAGTTCACAGAAGACCACATGAGGGCAGGTGTAGCACTCACACCCCTGATCCTCGCTTTGAACCATGAATCAGGTACAAACTCTAGATTCAGCCATCTCCCAAAAGCCCAGCCCCCACGATTGCATGAGGTTTTGGGCGACATCCAGACACAAACCTAACACAGTAGGACAGTGAAAGACTGAAGTAGCAAAGGCCTGAATCCATTTAAGAACGATGGGAATGAAAAGAGTAAATGATACGATCTACTGTAGAGAACGTGTTGGTGGACAAAGGTGTATGCTGGTTATAGAAGATTAAAGCATTTAAAGTGACACCAAGGTTTCAAACTTGTTTAACTTGAGAAAGAATGGGAGGAAGGTGGTCATGCTTTAGTGTATCCAGTTGTACTTAATCATATACCTCACTGGCCCCAGAGCCTGATTTCTACCATAAAGCTCCCAGATGCCAAGTCAGGAAAGCCTCAGCTACCTATTTGCCTTGCCTTTGTAGTGTACTAACTATATCTTTCCCTGTGCAGGACTCCCCCTGCTATGTTTGTACCATTTAGAATTTTCTAAAGATGAGGTTTGATTTAGACCCAGGACAGGTTCAGGAAAACCCAGCTTTCTCCGTCACCAGGGGAATATCAAAGAAGAAAAAGAGGATCCTATCTCCACTATTTCTATATTTTTCTGTCTTGACTGAATTGTATGAAAGAAACCAGTGATGGTTCTGAAATCATAGTTTGCTTTGCTCTTTTCTCTCCTTGGCCCTTGAAACCTGGTCAAAACTGGTACCCTACAACTAGGAAAAGGATAGGGCAGGTTTCATCTCCAGGTGAGGCCACTGAGGCGAAGGAACATAGAAGACAGTGTGCTTTCCTGTAGTCGCACAGGAAACCGAGATGAGAAGGTTTCTAGGGATTCTATGCACTGACTCTTTTATAGGATCTGGAGTAAAAAATACTGTGGACTCCAGAAAAAGATATAAGGAGATTCAGAGAAAATTGCTGGTGCTAAGGAACTGAAGATCCCATTGAGAGCTGGTACCAAGATGAAAATTCAGTTAGAAGTTCTGAGGCCAAAGAGCTGAAGATCCTGTTAGAAAGCTGGCACTAAGATGAAAATTCAGTTACTTTCCCTACTGAAGTCTTTAACATCAGTGTGGAAAGGAATATGGATGAGGCCAAATTGAATAGGCTGGCCCAGCTCAACTACCGTCTCCTCTGTAAAAATTTCCATTCAGTTTTTTCTCTCTGTTCCTACGTTCTCAAACCTCTGAGTAACTTACTTCCCTTTGCTGCTTTTAGTTCTTGTAGGATTATTTCCTCATCCGCCTGGCCAATCGTTTCTTTCAGTGCATGCAGTATCCATTTTTTTCCTTCTGTCTTTCACTCCTCTTTACACCTTGCTTTGCCCATTCACATTTGTTGCATTTCAGTAATGTCCTCTTTCTTAGAACTCAATGGACATCGTTTGGTGGTTCAGGAACTGAGAGGGCTGGCACTAGTTAATTCACATTTGAGAAAAGCGGAGTGGGGAATAAAAGCCCCTTTAAGGCCCCTAGGTTCTTTCACTTTCTGACTCATGGTTAGAGCTCAGTACAAGTCTCAGATTTCTTCAAGGGCAAAAATGTTTTTGAGTTTGTAATAGGAAATCTGTTTTACAAATTTTGTTAATATTTTTTCAACTCAATTAACCTTGTAACTCAGATCTACAGAGACCAGCTTTAGTGTACCTTCAATTCCTTGTCTTTTCCATGACAGGAAATTGCCTCCACTGGCCCTGACAAGGCGGTAAAGGAAACAGAGAGTTCCCAACCCCTGTAACCAGTTTCTCAGAGGCAGGGCTAGCATGCGGCGTGTTTACAGAGGAGCCCTCTTTGGACTTGCCTCCCTGTGGAGTTTACTTTCTCCTCTTTCTATTCATTGTCCATACCAATACAGGATCCCCAGACCTGCTCAAAAGAATGGGCTTTGGACACAAATTACCTCTTCAAACATTCACTCGATGTCACTGTGGATGTCATTTGATTGTTAAAATCCATTGAAATCCCTGGCTCTGGGAACTTCTTGTGCACTGTGAACCTAAGACCGCTTCCATTGACCATCTCATCTAGGGTTGTAGAGCGCAGGTAATGACACACTGCTGTGGATCACCCCTCCTTTTGTTTTGGTCTTGCCCCCCTGCTCACCTTGCCTTTATTTGGGTAGTCTGTGAGAATTACAGAATATTGTTTTTCCTATTTCCTCCATCTCTTCCTGTCTCTGGAACCATCCCGCTGTTCTACTTTCCTATTTCTTAGCTCCTAGAGCTCTTGTGGTTATGGAGGGAAGTTACCATTTACCCTGGTTCTCTGACTATTCTGAACTTCTCATCTTTCATACTTCCCACCCCCTAACTTCAGTAAATTCTGAGTGCCTCCTGAAAGGAGCCCCAGGCAGTGACAAACTGTCATTCCCTGTTACAGACTTTGCTATCTGCTTTAAGCCACTACCTTACAGTGAGATTCAGCTGTTTTGCCAATAGGAATTCTGGATCGGGAGAAAAGTATTAGGAATGAAATTAACTCCTAAAGTATTTGGTTAGGCAACAGTGTTCATATTTGTAATTGATTTTTAGAAAAATCTGGTTGTATTAGAATTTTGAAAGGGGAGCTTCCTGTGCAATTGGAGTCTCAGGAAATGGGATTTGTTTTAGCCTTTGAAGTACAAATCTCTGTAATGCTCTCCCCAGCCCACCCACTTTCCCCGCTGGCAATCCATCATGGTTAGGAAAAGCTGAACATGTAGTACTAATCTCAGGTTTCATGTCTAAGAAAATGTACATGTACAACAGAATGTTCCATTGCTTAGAAGCCAAATTCATGTATTTTGAATTTAAATTAAAATGTACTTGGTAGGCTTAGTGCTACAGATAAGGATGAAGACAAATGTTGCTGTGATGCAATAAATCTAAAGCCAGTGCTCTGAAAACTCCAAGGTAACATTATGCAGAGTCTGCTCAGGAGCCACTCTGGGAAGAAAGGCTACAGCATGGCTGGGCCTGGGGCTGGGTATAGACAAAGGATTGCTGTTGCATCAAATTCCAGTCTCAAGAAGAAGCATCCAAGGAGCTGGGGATTTATCTCAGTGGCACAAGCGCCTGCCTAGCAGGCACGAGGTCATGAGTTTGATCTCCAGTTCTAAAAAACAAGAAGAAGAAGAAGAAGAATCCAGTGGGTTCACTTTTATTAGAAGGAAAAAAATCAAAATATACCATCAGTGTTTAAATTTTTAAGAAATTGCTAAAAGAAGAGACATTGCCATTAAATTCCCTCCAAATACCCCTCATTCCAATTATCCCATTGCTCCTGTCCCTTTCTGAAGCAATTCTGCAAGTCCTTTTGTGTCTGAGGTGCGATAAAAAATATGGTGAATGCTGCTACTGAGTGCTATCCAGTGGGAAGGTAGGATCATTTAACATTAAGTGTATCCATATCCACCCTATTCACCAGATTGGTCATTGTGTGACTTTGTGACATCTGGCTCTTTCCCAAAGTCAAAATGACCATGAAACATAAACCTCTTGAATTGATCCAGGGCATTGAGGCAATGCCCTGGATCATACAACTAAAGACTCAAAAGAAAACTTCCAGGAGTGTGTCAGAAAGCAGAAAAAATGATGGCATAAGTATGTCAGACGTGAAGGGGATATTTTAAGGGAGATTAATTGCAATGTCTATTTTACTGTAATAAACTTTTTTTTTTGTACTGGGGATCGAACTCATGACCATGTGCTTGCAAGGCAGGCGCTTATGCCACTGAGCTAAATCCCTAGCCTACTGTAATAAACTTTAAAAACTTAAACATTCATATTGTTCACCTCATCTAAATATCACCACTGACTAAATAGCAACTAGAATAGTCCATACTGGTCCCTACTAGTTAGTCCTACTAGTTAGTCCCCACTAAGAATGGTAGGACTTGATTCAATGCCAAAGTTTTAGGGCCATATTTGAATCTAGCCTGTGGGAAAAGGTCAGTAGCAAAGGGAGGTGGGCTGGTACCATTCCTTTTGACTTCGCATGGGACAGGCTATTTACGGCTCTCTGCCAGTCGTCTACCCACTAAAACCAATAGCATGATTAAACTCCTGTAGCAGCACAACTGTTCCACTTCCGCATAAGAAATAGCCTGGGCGTACTAGTATGGAGAGCCAGTTTTGGTACTTAGCATCTCCCACCTTCCTGTCACCAGATGCAGATTAAGATTGTGGATTTCACTGTGAGAAATTAAAACCTCATGGCAGAGACATTCAGACTACACTGTTTTTGCACATGTGGGAATGTTTGTCACAGGGATATGTCAGCTTGCTGTGGACTTGTTGGGTGTGACAGGTACAAGTGACAGCTCTGTCGCAGTGCTCTTGTTGTACCACATGGATGATTAGTGATTAGGAGGATATTTTAGGATGAAAGGGGATGTTTAGCATGACAGGATCTACGATGACAAAGTATCATTTCAAACATGTTTCAAGGGATGTTAATCCCATTTTTACATCTTTATTTTAAAACAGTCTTAGGAAAGGAATAGAAGACAAATGGGACTGTTTACTCTGCCTCACCAACACTTTATCCATCCCGCAGAGACGGCCTGGCTGTTCCCTTTCACCTTCCACTGGAGATGCTATTTTAATTAAGGTTATTTGTTGAGTGATTCTGTATAACACAATATTAGGATTCTGAACACTGAGCTAAAAATAAGCAAAAGTAACCTTAAAAGAAACCTTATGGATAATGACTACTTCTTCCAACTTGTGAGGATCCACACAGATAGAGATTTTAAAGAGAATTTTAGAGAAACATCTAACTTAAACCAATAATCTCCACCGGCAAATATTTAACTTGCAAATGTCAGAATCAAATGTTTGCTTACTGAATCCATATAAGTGCTGTTTGCATTTATACTTGCTTACTTTTAATTTTCTTGCCATTAGTGTTTATTTCAGAAATGAAACCTCCCGATCATCCAAGTAGTACAGCTAAGGTGCAGTCTCAATGCTGTCACTTGCACATGGCAGGGCCCGTGCAATGCCCTGCAAGTAGACATGTGCCGTCATGTATATCATTATGTGAGCTAAAGTGTTCTTATGATGCAATGATTTGATTTGAACCCATAGGAATTCACATCTTTCTAAAGCTGTAAGACAGTAACAGGAAATCGTATGTAATTTAGAGATGTATTCTTTTTAAGACAACACTTAGCTAAATATTTCAATTTTTAGGGTATCATCCATAAAGTTAAATAATTTTTTATAAGCAGCTTGTCCAAATCTTTATATTCCAGCAGTCAGATAAGCTTCTTTAATGGCACATTAGACAGTTTAGAATGTGCAGTAAACCTTTAAAACTCCTAGGTCACATGTTGATAAGTTCATTTCCTAATACCAAGCCTCAATTTTGAGCTTCAAGCCTTAGGCAGCAGCTTATTCACATTGATGAGTATTTTGAATTTAGGCCAAAAAGGGGGAAAAAAATAAAAAGATTCCTAGATCTAAGCTCTTAACAGAACATAACAGTCTACCTACATTTCAGGCACAAGTTTGGGAAAGATCCATAGCTAATGAGGTTATAACTTTGCTCTTTTTTCCTCTTCATTCAAGGCATAATTCAATCCGAAGACAACTCAACCTGTCAAACCCAGACTTCAATATCCAGCAGCTTCAAAAACAGGAACAGTTGACTGGAATTGGTAGAATTAAACCAGAGTTATATAAACAGAGGTCATTGGATAATGATGATGAGAAAAGAAGTAACAGCAAAGCTTGTGGGAAACTGAACTTCATTTTAAAATATGACTGCGACCTAGAGCAGCTCATAGTGAAGATTCACAAAGCTGTCAATTTGCCTGCCAAGGACTTTTCTGGAACTTCAGATCCTTATGTGAAAATCTACTTGCTTCCTGATCGAAAAACAAAACACCAGACTAAAGTTCACAGAAAGACCCTGAACCCTGTGTTTGATGAAGTGTTTTTATTTCCGGTTCCCTACAGTGATCTCGAAGCTCGGAAGCTTCACTTCTCCGTGTATGATTTTGACAGGTTCTCTCGCCACGACTTAATTGGCCAAGTGGTAGTGGATCACTTCTTAGACTTGGCTGATTTCCCCAGGGAGTGCGTCCTTTGGAAGGATATCGAATATGTCACCAATGTGAGTCCAACATTTCTTCATTTAGGGGTGGGTAGTGCTTCTTGGTTAGCATGGAAACAAACGTTATTTTATTTGGAAAGTAAAGCAATAAATCCATGTTAGTATTCTCATAGCTATTTTTTTTTAATTTAAAAGGAAAAAGAGAAAAAAACAGAACAAAGCAAAACAGTGTAAGGGTACAAGTAATACAGAACTACAAAAGAAAAAAAAACAGTAAGATATCACCAATTAATAGATTACACACTATCATCTTTGAAACAGTGATTCAGGTCACAGGATCAAAGCATACAAAGTGAACATTCAAATATTGAGACTGCAAATAGTTGTGTTCAATGATCCAATCAAAAATATTAATATGGTCATCTATTTAACACACCTAAACACACTTGCTGTTGTATCCTTTTGGGCACTTTTTTTTTTCCCCCCTCTCTTTATTACAACAAAATTTACACATTTTGGGTTTTATTGTTCCCATAGATCTTATTACTTTTTTTTGTAAGGGAATACAATCAAACATGATAAAACAAAGCTGTCAGTCAAAACCAAGGATAGACATAGCACATGAGGTAAAAACAGAGTACAAGGTTATCAACAACGGTTACCATAATGCCTCTTGCTTCCTTAAGAAGAATTGTCCATCTCATTAGGTATTATAATGTTGAACAAAACAGTAGAGAATAAGTCCAATAAAACCTAAACATTGTAAACCTTACAGAACTTCAAAAGAAGATAATAGTCAAACCAGAATGGGCATCAAGTGAATCTTATTGCCGTGTTATACTCTAATACTTAATACTATCTTACAGAGCAGAACAGTCTAATCAGTCAAAACAAGATAGTGGGAGTATTACAGGACTTCAAATCAAGTTAATAGGAAATCAAGAAGGTTACTATAATATATCCTGCTAGTTCTTTTGATTTTTCCCCTTAGTTTAAAAAAGAAAAAAAAATTTAAATAATTTTTAAATGAATAAGGGAGAGGTTGATATAAAAGAGGACCTAACAACATAACAATACAGGTCAAAGCATGACAGTTTCAGCAACCTAGTGCTTCACCACCAAATAACCCGACTTAATAGTAGTTACCATAGTGTCTTTTTCTTTGAAATATTTGAATATAACTTCATATGCTATAGCATCAAACATATCAAGACAGTGTAACACCATTCAAGTGGATGAAAGCATTGTAGGGTATTTAGAACCAACTAACAGAAAAATGAACAATGGTTTCTATATTGTCTTTTTGCCTATAACAATTTTTGTTTATAGTACCACATATGGTAATATCCAGCAAGATACAACATGATAAAACCAATGGAGACAGAAGAGCCATAGTTTGGTGGGGCTTTAAAACAAGATGGTATTAAATGAGCATTAGCTATTATGATGTCTTGTTTTCTTCAAAATAGCTGTTCATTGCATCACAGGCCATAATATCGAACAGCCCAGAATAAAGCCATTCCAATTAATGAGTGAAAACTTTATAAGGCTTCAAGGCCATAGCTATTAATCTAGAACTTCTTTGTATGTTTCCAGAGACAAGTTTTTAACAGTATTTTGAAATTTCTAAGAATTATTATGGAAGCTATATGAGTCACATTCAGTGTTTTCTACTTTCTGATTCCTAGTGGTCCCCTAACAGATAGCAGATATCTGTTCTTCTAATCACATTTTCTTTTGAGCTTTCTTAGGTTGCTCACACTAAGTAGGTCCTGACATCCAGTTCACTGTATTTTGCAGCTATGACATCATTGCCTGACTCTGCTATGTCCTTGCTCATATTCTCATATCGGCTCAGTGTCACTTGCATGTTCAGATCCTCAAATTCGGCCCTGGATGTGGGAGTGATGGAGCAGAGTTGGCATCGTATTTTCAAATATAAGACTCACAGAGTCAAAGTTACAAAGATAACAGTCTGAAACGTAGCCACAGAGAATAGTACAATGAATCTATAGAAGGTCAAATCCAATTTAGAGCAGGGAGAGAAGGCAGATGTGCCATGTACTCACCAGTATATCCATGACACACAAGATCTCTAATGACCAAATAAATAGTACCACTAGTGTACCGTTTTGTTCTCAGCCATTGTTATAAACTGGGGACTCCCTCACACTGTGGCTGTTACAAGAAATACTTTCTCTCCGCATATCACAAAGTACTAGCTTTTTCCTGCTATCCAGGTAGGCAAAGTGTGGCAGGAGGGTATGCTTGCCACTACTTTAATGACTACTACTATGCCAGGAAAGAAAAGAGTAGCAGGTTGGAGTGCTGCAAAAGGAACGGACTTCTTTATCAGGAAAGATTGTAACATACGTAAATCGAAAATGGATACTGATAAAAGCAAGGATTGTTTCTCAAACCCCAATTGTCAAAATCAGAAAGCAACTAAGAAGTTTTAAGGAAACAAAATAGGCAGGACGTCCATGGCAAGATATGACTGGTCCAAGAATTGACTCTCTCACTGACATTTATTATGTTCTCTTGGATGTGGAAGCTGAGACACTGCCAGCCACAGTGATGAGCCTGGGACTTAGGTCTGATCTCATGAAAGGGTATGGGGATCATACCGTCTAGGAAAATACCAGTTTCTGTTTTTTGACAAATACATTCCATAAAATAGCTGGAAAAGTTATTAAAAAGTTCAAATGGGATCCTGCTATTGCCTTCTAGAGATTTGATGGAAAGTAACACTTTGTGTTCATAAAATCCTGGATAAGGCTGATCCCTGATTGCAGCATTCAAGCAGGTTTCATGGGACAGGAGTACACAGTGGCAGGCTCTCAAAACCTCTGGCCCTGAGATCACTGCCACTGTTGTGCTTTCGTAGTTGAGTTTCTGTCCATTGTTGGAGTATCCTAGATGGCCATAGAATTAAGAAAATGTGAGATTACTTACCAAGGAGGCAAAGTCTAAGTATTTTTCTAGGCCTTGTGATAGCCACAGATGAATAGATATTCTAAGAATGGAATTGCAGGTTATTTTTTACTCTGCAACATTTTTGCTTTTGATACCAGAAATTGAACTCGGGACCTCATGCTTGCCAGGCAGGTGCTGTGCTACGGGGCTATATCCCCAGACCATATTGTTTTAAAATTCCACTTAAAAAGTATTATTTGGGACTGTTTGGACTACATTTATTTTTTTAATGTAACTGTGTACACAGATTATATAAAGATCTGATTTCATTTTTCTGCCAAGATTTCATTTTTCAATTTAGAGGCATATCATACACGTATGTAATACATACAGATTAATGAAGCAGTATTAAATGAACAGGCATGAAATCACCAGCTGAAGAACTGTGCCAGTACTTTAGCTGAACCAGGATTTTCCTCCTTTATAATATTCCTTCTTAGTGCAAGAGGAAACCACTATCCTGAATTTTATTTATATTGTGTTGTTTGTCTGTGTATGTGCGCACATGTGTAAGGAAATATAGATTTTGATTTTGTCTGTTTCTGCTTTTCATAGTTCTCCAGTGACTTGCTTCTTTCTTTCAGTCAACGTTATCTGTGGCATTTCACAACAGAGATGAATGGAGTGCTGTGGTTTGTGCATTTTCACTGCTATGTTATATTCCATTGTATTAATGCATAAAATTTGCCACTTTTATGTTGATGACTTTGGGTAGTTATTTGTATTTTGTGATTCGAAATATATTGCAGAAGGTTTTTGTACACATCACTTGGTTAACATATACAATAATTTCTCTAGGGTGTATCCATGGTAGAAATAACAAATATATGTCTTGAACTTCTCCAGATAATGATCAGATCATTTCCAGACTGGCTGTCCAAATTGATTCCCCCCCCCACTCGTAAAGTGTGACAGTTACTACTACTACACTTTCTCACCAACTGTTACACTTGTCACAGTGGTGAACTGTATGTGTGTACATGTGAAATAGCGTGTTGTTATTTCCTTGGTTGCCAGGGTGACCATCTTTTCCTATTTATTGATCATCATGTTTCTTTTATTTGGAAATATTTAATGCTTTCCTCTAATTTATCCTTTTACATGTTAATTCAGATATGCTCTTTTTAGTCTGGTTACAAATCTTTTGTTGGTTATATTACAAATATTATCTTTCAACTTGTGGCTGTTTTTGTATTCAACCTATGGTGTCTTTTGATAAGAAGAGATTCTTATGGTGTCTTTCGGTTAAGTAGAGGTTATGTTTGTTTCAATAAAATATAACAATATTTTCAATTGTAAGACATTTGTGTCTTAAGAATTTTTTCCATATGTCATAACAATGTTTCTCTTATATTTTCTATTAGAAGTTTTAAAGTTTTGACCTTCTCAAATATAATTTAGTCCTCCTCAGAATGGAACTTTTGTATATAGTAGCACCCTATATAGGCAGCTTGTATTAGTCAGTTTGGACTATTTTACAGAATGCTGTAGGCTGGGTGGTTTAAACAAAAGGCATTTATTTCTTACGGTTCTGGGGACTGGAAAGATCAAGGTGCCAGCAGTGTTCCTGATGGGGTTCTTTTGCCTTCTCTCTCTGTCCTCCGATTGTGGAGAGTCAGCTCTGTTCTCCCTATTTTTTTTTTTTTTTTTTTACTTAGGGTATGTTCGTAATAGATAATAGTTAACATTTGTTTTGGAGAATTGGTACGTGTATATATCACCTTTTGATCATTTTCAATCCCTTCCTATCTTTACCCCTTCTTCTTCCTTTGATTCTCTTTCCCAACTCTCAAAATCTGCCTCCTTATTTCCTCCCATTTCTCTTTTTTTTACTCTTAATTTATTTTGGGGATTCTTTTTATAAGAGAAACCATGAAATATTTAATTTTCTGATTCTGACTTATTTAACATTATGGCCTTAAATTTCATATAGAATGGACCACACAAAGGTGATCTCTTGTAACTCTAATTACTGCCCAAAAGCTTTATCTCCAACCATTCACATTGGAATCAGGACTCTAACATACGCATTCCAAGGAGGAGCACAAATATGCAGCTGGTAACACATCTATTTATTTTTCTAA